AGCTGCTAGAGGGGAGTTTTGATCATAACTGATTGTAATTCCAGCCTGTGTAGAGCTGGTTTGCTGTTAGACCGTGTTTGTCTGTATGTGTGCGCTGGTGCATATGTTCACAGCGATGAATCTTAAAGCTTCCCAAGATGAAATCTGTGAGGTCCCAGCATGTTTGTACTTTGAAGATGGGCTCAAGCAAATCCCCTTTGAAAAGCTACATAAAGCCTGGATCCTTTTTTGCTCTCACACATATATGTTCTTGTCTGTCTTACTGTAACACCATGTAACATCAGTAATTACTACCATCACAGCAAGTGGTTGCGTTAAGGTGCATATAGGATGGCTATCTCATACCATGAGTTTACACTCAATGAAACAACTTGCCAACTATCACAAGACTTCTGCTGGGGTCTTTGATGGCCAGCTGGATCGAGTCCTGTTCAATTATCCCTCTATGATCAGAGGAGTCTTGCTGCAGAGGACAAGCTTAGATCAATACACCAGTGAGTTATTGTCCTAGACATCTACCTTTTGCATGATCCCAATCCCTCATGTGTGGTGGCAGCGAGACAGGCTTGTCATCATCTACCAAGTTCATGTTTATCAATCGAGATGTCCGCTGTAGAGATTTCAACTCTTGCCAATTTAAATAAGACCACTGATCCTCACCTTCAGTCAACTGCCAGACAGATTTATCTAGACATAATAGTCTAAAAGTTTCCTTTATATTCTGGCTACACCCCCATCCATCATATGCATTGTGATGCTCATTATATTCAAGAAGTTAGCACATTTTATCCCACTCATAGCTGAGAGAAGGAAGGTCAAGGCTACTGTTGTGTTACTGTAAGAAATTTTGTCACTGAATGTCATAGTTTTTTCAAACTTAAACAATCCTGGTGATAAAGGTATAATTTTGAATCGGGTGTGCTCTGGAATGATTCATTGTCCTTTTTTTTTTTTACTTTTGCATGTCCCTGGGTTGATTCATTGCGCTTATTCTCAAACTGTTACCAAAGTTGTAGTTGAGGTTATAGGGTTGCAGGGTGACTTCAGTCTGTATTGTTCTTCACATTTGCTTATTGGGGCACCTAAATGTACCATGTAAAAACAACTGCATCACCACTTACGTCATACTCCATATACAAGCCCTAGTCAATTCCTGGCCCCATTCCTACCATTCCTGAAATCCTCTTAATGGCACCGAATTCAGATTAACACGAGTACATTGAATCTGTACCTTTCACTCATGTGGGATTTTGCTTTCCCAGATGTGAAAAGTTCCACATTGTTATAATTTCTCTCCAGTCGTGGCATTTGCTGGAAATTTCTGGGCCACAAAAGTTAATAGCTGTTCCCTAATTCCAGCCTTTTTGTAGTGTGTACTGAATTGTATTACTTCTTGTCTGTAGTACTTTTACCTGTGACATCAACCCTGAGAACAACACAGAGTCTAAAGCAGCGGTAGCCAGCCTTGCTCCTGCAGGACTACCGCTCTCCAAACTTCAGTTCGAACCCTGCTCCAAGACAGCTGCCTGCTATTTTCAAGTGATCCTGAGTGCTTTAATTAGCTAGTTCAGGTGTGTTTGATTAGGGTTGGAGCTAAACTCTGCAGGATGGTAGACCTTCAGGAGCAGGGTTGGCTAGCCCTGGTAAAAAGTTTAACCATGAGCAGCAACTTTCTTGGTAACTATAGCACTTACATTTATAGGCATTTATACACCAAGCCAACTTTAAAGAACTAGCAGTGACGAAAGCCAATGGTTGTTGTCACCTCGCGTTGGATGGCGTCAGGACCAAAAAGCTGCGCTTGAACACACCGCTCAGACTACAGCCAACTGCAAACTAACACAGGCATTCTGAGCCTGTGTGAGAGGAATTAACTGTCTAAATCAGCTGCTGTCAATAGTATATATTCGTCATTCAAAATGAGAAACTGAAACAAGGATATACGCAGATATATGAAACAAACAAAGCAGCGCTTGCTTACCATTTTGAATATCAGTTTCAGTTATGATGACAACTTTCTTCATTTGAAGTGGCTCATGTTGTTACGAAAATATTCGCTTATTGGAATGCTTGGGTAAGATCACGTAATATTAGAACAGTCTTCTGTCTGTGCCGCCTTCATTTACTTGCTCGTGTTCATCACTTTCGCTTTAATTCTCGGGAACTGACTCGTTCACTAAACTGAGCATCCAATCAGAGTCCTCAGTTTCACCGACAGCCCAGACGCTGATTCAGCATGTTGAATGGGGCAAACTGCCGTTGACATGAGCCCGACGTGTGGAACACACCAAAAAAAAAAAAACTAGCCTGACAGACGCTCACCGATGGCCGACCATTGGCTTGGAGTGTCCCGGCCTTAACAAGCCACCCATCTCACAATTTTACACCATATTATTTTACTATTATTTGACTGCTCAACTCCTGTCGGCAGGTCAGGGGAGTCTGATCTTGCTCCTGCTCTGGGAGGGTCAATGTCATGCAGAGTTTAGCTCCAACATACTCCAATCTCACACTTGCCTGGAAGTTTCCAGTAATCCTGAAGACCATAATTAGATGGATCTGGTGTGTTTTATTAGGATGTATTGTCCTTTAGCAAACCGTGTCCCTTCAGTCAGTGCATGTGATGTTAAAATGTCTGTTTGGTGTCTTGCAGGAGTTTGCCGCCCTGACGAAAGAGTTGAACGCCTGCAGAGAACAGCTGCTGGAGAAGGAGGAGGAGATTTCAGAGCTGAAGGCCGAGAGGAACAACACCAGAGTGAGTTCACACACTATGTCTTCCAGGCACTTCAAAGAACAGATTGTGCTCCTCAACTATCAGCCACCTTGGAAAGTTGTACTTGCTTACAAAAAAGCCAATAATTTAACAGATGCCCACTTAGCGACTCGTGCATCTAATTCATGATGTTTTGTTGGAGTGAAGGTGGTTTTGCTTGCTCCAAACTGCTTTCAATGAACTGAAACCAGATTCTGTAGAGTCTGTTGAGATGCTTACTTTAGAGTCACAACATTCTTACTTCGATATGCCCTGCACCACCTTTTATGGGGACTTTATTGTGATGAGATGACAGTTGAGTGATAACTTTATCCTTGTAGCGGTGAGATCATAATTCCCTGTAAGTCAAGATATCAGGTTGGCCTTTTTCAATAAAATTGTCACCAAGCATTTGCATTGAATGTAGATAAGCTGCCAAAACGTCTGACAAGATAGCACTTTGGATATCACTTCCATTTCACAAGAAAGCAGTTATTCTCGCTTCTTCTGCTTAATTTTCACCTCGATTCTTTTCCTTCACCCCACAGTGCCTGCCTGAGTCACTGTGCTAATGCAGTCTGGCGTGCCCACCTCCACGCTGCAATTCAATTAATTACTTGCGGTACTTAGCCGCAGCCTCACGTTTGAAGAGTCAATTATGGAATTGAAGATATCGGAGGGGATTAAAAACCAGAGGGAAGCATAGATCGAGGGGGATAAGGAGATGTAGTGAAATGGAAAAGACGAGAGTTCGGGTGAGATTAGCAACAGACTCTGGGAGCAGCATTTCAAGCAGAGTTTCTAATCTTACACAGGGAGCAGCTAATGTGACTGTGAGTGAAGTATTTAACCCAAAGCCTCAAAACTCTGCAATGCATCAGTCATTATGGAAAAGGTCATATCTTAATCATTTTAGAGACTTTGTCCCAGTTTGTGTAGCAGCAACATTCCCTAAAAGTGAATTAGACCCTGATAATGTAGAAAGTACATACTTTTCAGTAAGACAGTATGTGAGTAATAGGTGTTAATATAAATGAGACATAATAACAATGGGTTTAGGCGATATTCCCTTAAAAAACTTTGTACACTTCAAAAATCCACAAGATGTAGTATACCATACGAGCACTCTTTCCAAACTATTTATTTGGGACACACTAATTCTTGTTACGTAATATTTACCATAAATGTTATGCTAATTGGGACATTGGCCATTTACTATAGGCCTTGGGTTAATAAAGTACTAAAGAAGACATTTTTGTTGCCGATGCCAGTGAAATCACTTTGTCTAATCTTCACTGTATACTCCCTATTACTTTGCAGCCAGTATAGCCTAGATCAACATTGTGAACATAGCAGAGAATTTTTGGCCATTGATTTTCATTTTAAGTGTCATTTGGACCACAATCTTACCCTGCAAATTGTTAAGATTGTTCAGATGTCTCTTATAAGTGATAATTTCTATGCATTAGTACGTATGAGGTAATGTTATCTCAACATGGTGGCCACCTTGAGGAGTCAACTACACTTATGTAGAAAAAAACTTTTTAGGATACTTATGATTGGTGTCTGTCTCATATGAGTGTACAACATTTTAAACATTTTTAAAAGTACTTTTCTTTTCTTTATTAGTAAAACTTTTGTGGAAAAAAAGGTATTTGGTGCACTTATGTACTGTACACCATACAGTATCAAATTATATCAAACAGTCAGAAACAAGTACAATCTAAGTCCATAGAAATAAAATAACACTTAAAGTAAGGTGAGGTCATGAGGTCATGAAAACGCAGTATTAACAAAAAAATGAAGCATGTAGATGAAAATGTACAGGTTGAACTTTTGCGCAGGATAGCCCTTCAAGTAAAATGCCTCATATTGTTACTGTACATATATTGATTTAAGATCAATTCTGAGATTCATGTATTAGCTAATGGCTGTGTCTACTGACGGCACCAGTGTGAATCTGATCCACCAAAACAGACATACACAGAGGGAGAGAGAGTAACCTAACCTGCATTATCCGGCTATAGGGTTGTTTTAGTGCTGAGCTGGCGCTGGGAAAGACAGAGGCTGGCACAGACCGAGGGTTATGAATGAGAGAGCAAGGAACTGAGCAGAAATAGAAAGGTCAGCTTCTGCATAGGTCTCTAGAGCAGCACTGCAACAGCACTGCCTGTACAGCCCTCAGGCAGGTACTGTACATGTGCTGCTGCAGCCCTAATGCTGCCTTACATTCAACTAGAGAAGTCTGAATTTCCAACTACCTTCTTGGCGACTCCACTTGAAGTTGAACTCCCTACTTAGAAAATCAGAAATAAACTACGATTTCACTAGCATGCTAAGAATTAGACTAAACATAGCCTAACATTCTTTTAGCTATCGTTTTTGTTCTGCATTTATTCTAGCTTTAGTTTTAGCTTTAGCTTTGAGATTGTTTTTAGATTAGTATCAGTATTAGCTTGTGCTTAAGGTTTAATTTGACATTTAGCTTTAGTTTTAGATGTATCTTTAGTTGTACATATTTTAGTTTTATCATTATTTTAAAATTATGCTTTTAGTTTTAGCTTTTAACTTTAGTTTAAGCTATAGCTAGCTTTTTAGGTTATTAGCTTTAGAAGTATTAGCTTAAGCATAAGCTTTAGTTTAAAGTTTATTAGGGTTTAGTATTAGTTATTTTTATTTATAAGTTTTATGTATATTGTAGTTTTTGATTAAGTATTAATTATTTTTATTTCATTTAGATTGTTTTAACATTATCTTATAAGATGTTCTTTAGATTTAGCTAGTTTTTACTTTTTATTTATTATTAGTTTTATATTTAGTCACATTATCTTGGCGGCCGGGGGATGTACAGTCCCTTTTAACCCCTTAACTGTTACTCACTCACATTTTTGAACATAGACATGAAAGTGCACGATCCAAACTTAAATTTTTATAATTCATGAACGAAAACATTTTGTAACATGATATTGATGTACCTTTTTAATGGTAATGCAATGTTTGATTTTAAAATGGGTTTCAAAGGATGAATTTTGAGATTTAAAGTTTTCAATTGATATATAATTTCTGATGATTTCTAAAGTGTGATAGAGAAAAAGGCAACGAAGAAGACTTTTTTTGACAAAGGTCAGAACTCCTGTTACGATGTAGATTTTTGAGGTGCACTCTTGTCATAAATTAATCTATTACTTTTCCTACATAATTTTTAACAAAAACATTGGTAAAATATCTGTTTGGGAGTCTTAGACCTTTCCAACGATATATAGTTTGTCATGATTAGATTAGGATTTAATTGTAATATAGTGAAGTAAACTTAGGCGTCCCACAGAGGGGACGGGTGACAGTTAAAGGGTTAAACAAATAAAATGCAACAATGAGTCAAAGTTCCTAATTATATGATAATGAAGCTTGTTTAGAACAAATTTGTAATAATTCTCTCTTATGTTAATCATACACTTGCAAAACAAATGCTAGCATTAAATAGCATTCTTTATGCCCACAATTAGGTTGCAGTATGCTAAGAGGCTTCTCAGTTGGCCATCGAACACCTGCAAAGTGAACAGTAGTGTTTCGTTTCTTTATACCTTGTTTACTTTCTTTAAACCTTCTGAGCATCAATCAGTGGAGCACCTTCATGGTTGGAAGTAGGAGATATTGAGTAGGAATATCCTGCATCCGGCTTTAGATGCAATTCAGCATCATTCGGAGCAGGTTTTCTGAGCAAGTATTTCAAAACAACATAAACACTTTTTCTCGCCATCCATAGTAATCTATGTCCACTCATCCAGCCAGACGGTTATCTCTCTCTCTCTCTCCACAGTGTCATTGGGACTTTGGGGCCGAATTGATTTTTTTATGCCATGTACCAGAGCAGAGAGTAACCACATTAAAATAATCTCCTTTGTGCCGGGTCCAGGGGGTTTCTATTTGTTGTGTCTGCTTTATTGTTTTAGTAATGTAATGGGTTTTCTTGTGTGTAATGTTGTTATCCATCTGAAAGGGTTCCCTTGTAAAATGAGAAAAGACTAAATGGTGTGTTAAGCACATGCCATTAATTTTCATGTGAAGAATGTCCTTTAGGGTTTAGTGACATAATGAAAAAAACTGACCTCATGTTGCAGCATTAGACATTTGAGTTCAGTTTTAGATTAACTACTAAATTTAGATTTAATTTAAGTTTTAGTTTCAGCTTCTAATTGTAGTTTTGGAATTAGCATTATATTTATATATAGCTGTAGTTTTTTGATTAGTAATAAATTAGTTTTAGATTAATTAGTTTTTTTAAATTTTGTCTTTAGATTTATATTAAGCTTTTTATGTAATTTAGTTTTAGTTTTTTTTATTACATTTTAAATGTAGTTTTTGATTTAGCTTTAGGTTTAGAATTGGTTTTAGATTTAGTTGTAATTTTGGCTTTAGATTTAGGTTCAGTATTAGATTAATTACTAAAATTTGAATTTTGCATGGATTTATCTTTTAGATTTAAATTCAGTTTGAGCTTTAAATTTAGTTTTATATTTCAACTTTAGTTTTAGAATTAGTATTTGTTTTATATTTAGCTGTAGTTTTAGCTTTAGATTTAGTTTTAGGTTATTTACTAACTTTGGGGTTTTTAGATTTAATTTCCATCTTCATTTGTTAATTTCAACTTTAAAATTAGTATTAATATTAGTTTTAGGTTCAATTTTACATTTGGTTTAATGCTAATGTTTATAATAGTAATGGAGGATTGTGATGATGAACATCATGAGATTAACTCCTTACATGTTCCACAGCTGCTGTTGGAGCATTTGGAGTGTTTGGTTTCGAGGCATGAACGTTCCCTACGCATGACAGTGGTAAAACGACAGGCCCAGTCTCCTTCTGGGGTCTCCAGTGAGGTGGAGGTCCTCAAAGCTCTTAAGTCCCTCTTTGAGCACCACAAAGCACTGGATGAGAAGGTAAACCCCGAGAGGTTCCTGTTGTTCTTTTGTTGAATTTACAGTGCATTGCAAAGATAGAAATCTGCTAGTATAAATTAAAATGTGACACACTAAATATACCACACACCTGTTGATGTTTAACCCATATAATTTGTTGGCTGACTGATCAATCTTAATAACCAAAATAATATTATGTAACAGTTTTCTCTCCTGGTTTTTGGACTGTGAGGTGGAAGTACATTTATCAAACACTGCGACCCACTGTCCCTCCTCTCCTTTCCTTCATCCAGTGGCATTTTATTTATGGATTAAGCCCTTGTGTGGCACTTCATCCAGCTGTAATCCATTCTGCGGCTTTCTGCAGACAGTGTCATTTATAAGGCGTTAGGTAACAGACGGCAAGAAAATGTTCATGATTTATGGGATCACAGGTTTAGTGACCACTGAACGTCCAGTGATGAAGGACTGAACCCACTGAAATGATTCCAGTGATCAAACAGGTCACCAGAGAGGGCGATTAATAGTTGTAAGACAAAAAAAAAAATGCCATAATGCCACTGAATTTGCCATACAGTACCACATTTTTTTTAAATAACATTGTGAAAATAAAGATTTACAGGTGCATCTCAATAAATTAGAATGTCGTGGAAAAGTTCATTTATTTCAGTAATTCAACTCAAATTGTGAAACTCGTGTATTAAATAAATTCAATGCACACAGACTGAAGTAGTTTAAGTCTTTGGTTCTTTTAATTTTGATGATTTTGGCTCACATTTAACAAAAACCCACCAATTCACTATCTCAACAAATTAGAATACTTCATAAGACCAATAAAAAAAAACATTTTTAGTGAATTGTTGGCCTTCTGGAAAGTATGTTCATTTACTGTACATGTACTCAATACTTGGTAGGGGCTCCTTTTGCTTTAATTACTACCTCAATACGGCGTGGCATGGAGGTGATCAGTTTGTGGCTCTGACGTTGTCTGTGGTTCAGGAGTGGCTTAACGAGGAATACAAAAACTGTAGCCAAATTCCTTGACATGTCTGTGTGTGGTGGCTCTTGATGCCTTGACCCCAGCCTCAGTCCATTCCTTGTGAAGTTCACTCAAATTCTTGAATTGATTTTGCTTGACAATCCTCATAAGGCTGCGGTTCTCTCGGTTGGTTGTGCATCTTTTTCTTCCACACTTTTTCTTTCCACTCAACTTTCTGTTAACATGCTTGGATACAGCACTCTGTGAACAGCCAGCTTCTTTGGCAATGAATGTTTGTGGCTTACCCTCCTTGTGAAGGGTGTCAATGATTGTCTTCTGGACAACTGTCAGATCAGCAGTCTTCCCCATGATTGTGTAGCCTAGTGAACCAAACTGAGAGACCATTTTGAAGGCTCAGGAAACCTTTGCAGGTGTTTTGAGTTGATTAGCTGATTGGCATGTCACCATATTCTAATTTGTTGAGATAGTGAATTGGTGGGTTTTTGTTAAATGTGAGCCAAAATCATCACAATTAAAAGAACCAAAGACTTAAACTACTTCAGTCTGTGTGCATTGAATTTATTTAATACACGAGTTTCACAATTTGAGTTGAATTACTGAAATAAATGAACTTTTCCACGACATTCTAATTTAGTGAGATGCACCTGTACATTATTTTTTTTCCCACTGTGGTCCTTGGAACTACATTTAATTTATTAAATATAAGACATTTTTCTAAATCAAATACAAATTTATAGTTAAGATTTCATTTATTGATCATATAATGTGTCTGTCAGACTTGTGTTCCCGTTTTGTTGTTTTCTTCCCCATGTGTTCCTTGTTTTCCCTCTTGTCTTTGCATGCCCTTATTTGGTTTTCCTGTTCCTGCTCCCTGATTGTTTCCAATTTGATTCCAGGTGTGTCTCGTCATCCCAACGTCATGTCATTTGTATATAAAGTGTTCCATGTGATCAGTTCGGCATCCGGTATTGTGAATGTCTGTTTATGTCTACCTCATCTGCTACGTGTGTTTTCCTGGTTCCATGGTTATAATTAAAATGTCCTGTGTTGATGTACTCCTGGTCTCCTCGTTCCTCGCTCCGCGCTCCAACACAGTAGCACCGTGACAGTATCATATGTGACCCTGGACCACAAAACCAGTCTTAAGTAGAACGGGTATATTTGTAGCGATAGCCAACAATACATTGTATGGGTCAAAATTATCGATTTTATATTTGTAGCAATAGCCAAAAATACATTGTATGGTTCAAAATTATTGATTTTTTTTTATGCCAAAAATCATTAGGATATTAAGTAAAGATCATGTTCCATGAAGATATTTTGTAAATTTCCTACTGTAAATATATTAAAACTTAATTTTTGATTAGTAATATGCATTGCTAAGAACTTAATTTGGACAACTTTAAAGGCGATTTTCTCAATATTTTGATTGTTTTGCACCCTCAGGTTCCAGATTTTCAAATAGTTGTATCTCAGCCGAATATTGTCCTATCCTAACAAACCATACATCAATGGAAAAATAAATATACTATTAAAACTACACTAGCAGTTTCTAAGAACGGTATTCCATTTTAATTCTACTTCCATAAATTCTGCAATTCTGCATAATGTTTGCGACCATAATTTAAATGTAATTCTAAATCAGGAATTAAAAAACATTCTCAGATTAGTTCAGAGTAGAGCACAGCCTTGAAAAACAGTGAGTGATGGGATTTTGTGTTTCGTTCAGGTACGAGAGAGATTGCGGGCGTCACTAGAGAGGGTCTCTGCCTTGGAGGAGGAGTTGGCCGCAGCCAATCAGGAGGTGAGGTACACATGCTCTGATTTATGTAATTATTCAGCAATCTGCACCAAAAAAGGAGTTAAATATACGCAGTAAACATGCTATATATATATATTTAATTTGTTGCTATGATGTGTTGTTTTTGCTTGATCTGATTAGTGTGAAATGCAACAGAGCAAATAGTACATTGTGTATTTTAGTGTTTATTCTAGTACTGGCAGTCCAGATGGTGCAGTTCTAGCTGAAAGAGCTTCAAACTTTTTTTTTTTCCTTTAAGAGATATTCAGTGTTGAGATTGTGTGTACTAATTTTGACTGCACTGCGAGTTCTGCTGTGTGTTATAATGTCTCTGTTTCTGAATTAACACTCATCTGATCTCTTCGGGTCATGAGAGAGGGCCGCCTCAGATCAAAGAGCCAGACAGACGGCGAGGGGAGAAGAGGTGAAAGCAGTTATTTAAAACAAGACAATGACTCAGTCCTAAGACGGATAAAGCGAGATAACAAATAAATCATACTGTATGTAAAATATCTAAAGACTCAACAAATCAAAACTAACAGCAAACATATTGATGAGAACATTTTTACTTACATCTCGCCAACGTCAAGTGGGTGAGTGCGTGTCAACCAAGAGAAAGCTTTGCTCTGAATTCTGGGAAATTAAAAAACATAAGGATTTCAATTGAGGCCGCTTTTAAATTTCATCCAGCCCTTTAAGCTGCCCAAGGTTACTTCTCTGAAAATGTTTATTTATTATTAGTACTAGTCATTGAAAACCTCATGCTTTTGAATGACTGTTCATTGATGTTATAAAAGGACATTTACACATCTTAGCGAAATGGCAGAGACAGTTGAATGTTCAGAATACAGCGGTGGCTGGTGCTTTTCCAGACAGGAGAAGCACAGATGTCACACTGTACTTATTAAAGCTAAGCATGTGCTTAAGATTATTTAAGATCTGTTCTGTCTGTGTGAGCTATGGAAGCCCGTTTCCGCCACTGAATAAAAAATAAAAAAAGGTTATTGCGACTTTTTATCTTACAATTCTAACTTTTTTCACAGAATTGTGAGATATAAACTCGTAATTGCGAGTTATAAAGTCAGAAGTGTGAGTTATAAAGTCAGAATTGCAAGATATAAAGTCAGAATTGCGAGATATAAACTCGCAAGTGCGAGTTATAAAGTCAGAATTGCGAGATATAAACTCACAATTCTGACTTTTTTTCTCAGAATTGCTTGATATAAACTCACAATTGCGAGTTATAAAGTCACAATTGCGAGATAAAAACTCGCAATTCTGACTTTTTTTCTCGCAATTGTGAGTTTATATCTCGCAATTCTGACTTTTTTCTCAAAATTGCGACTTTGTCTCGCAATTGCGAGTTTATATCACACAATTCTGAGAAAAAAAAGTCAGAATTGCGAGTTCGTATCATGCAATTCTGAGGAAAAATTCAGAATTGTGAGTTCGTATCACGCAATTATGAGAAAAAAAGTCAGAATTGTGAGATAAAAAGTCGCAATTACCTTTTTTCTTTTTTATTCAGTGGCAGAAACGGGTTTCCATAGTGAGCAGTGTCTGAAATGCGGAAATTAAAGGCTGTACTCCTCAAACTACGTCTAAACGGTGAAAAAAAACTAACAGCAACTGGGAGAAACTGGAAACTGTTGATACATTAGAAAAAATTAACCATGAACAATGAAGAATCGAGATTGTTATCCTGTCTGTTCTTCAATGAATACAGTGTAATTCGTTCATGTGAAAAGTGTAGCATACTACTATTTGAAACATTTATTATTGCATACTGCATATTGTTTCAGATACTAGTTTGAAAAATGAAAAACAATATCCAGTATAGAATATATTCTAGGATGTAAACAGTTATCTGCATAATAGTATTCAGTTCCTAAGTTTTATATATTTCACATATTTTAGCTCTCAGTGCGTTCTCAGAATTAATTTCTGCACGAGTATAACTGAACTATCTCTATTTCAAGTTCACATTAATATCTCAGTCTTAGAGGGAGCAAAATGTTGTTCAGGTGAGTCACAAAGATGAATCGGGTTTCTGTGAAGTAGTTGTCTTCTGTTTGAAACAAACCAGTGTTTCAGGCACTGCTGGGCTCGTAGGTGCTCTGCTTTGATAAGACCAAATGAACGACATCAAAGCAGACATGCTTACTTTCATTGGGCCTCCACTTCTCATTTACCTTCATTTGCAAGTTGACTCAATATTCCGGCTCTTTGTGGAGTCACAAGGTGCGGGATTGTTTGATCTTCCGGCCTCGAAAACTGGCAGACAATTCCCTTTCTTAGCCTTCAAATGTGCGAAGCCCCCTTAATTGCCACCTCATTAAATGAATGCGTGGTGAGCGGCGATAAATCAAACAAAAGGAAATGGATGTCTTCTTTATATCCATCCATCTATCCTGCTTTCTCTGAAATCACTGTGGACAGACAGAGCATCTTGACATGGCTGTGGAATAATCTCCCAATGCCCTTTAGTCTGGAGAGAACACAACGTGTGTGTTGGTGTGACAGTGCTCATCAGTCAGATAACCTGCTTTAGAGATGCTCCTAGAAGAATAGGTTATTTTATTAGGGAGCATATGCCAGCGGCCATGGTCAGCAACTTCTGCTGCTATATTTGAATGTGCTGCAGTTTTACATTTATTGGGCTGTGGAAGTTTTGTGCTGGTCTAGATATACAGCATTTCTTAACTTACATATAGTGTATGACCTAGTGGCTGTCAGTGTAGTATAAAAGTATAAAAAGTTCCATGTTTTTATTTAAACCATTTCGTAATTTGGGGACCAAATGGTTTTATTTAAACCATTTGGGGAAGTCGTAGCCTAATGGTTAGAGAGTCGGACTCGTAACCCAAAGGTTGCGGGTTCGAGTCTTGTACCGGCAGGGATTGTAGGTGGGGGGAGTGAATGTACAGCGCTCTCTCCCACCTTCAGTACCACGACTGAGGTGCCCTTGAGCAAGGCACCGAACCCCCAACTGCTCCCCGGGCGCCGCAGCATAAATGGCTGCCCACTGCTCCGGGTGTGTGTTCACGGTGTGTGTGTGTTCACTGCTGTGTGTGTGCACTTAGGATGGGTTAAATGCAGAGCACTAATTCCTAGTATGGGTAACCATACTTGACCACATGTCACGTCACTAATGATTTGAGTACAATGGTATATATAAACTACCATGGTATAACCATCAACATCAACAGTATATTGTACTTTTTTTGAAAGGGATATTATTATGCAACAGTAGGGTACCAATAGTAAAAGTATGGTTATTTATTTATTTATTATGTACAAACTTGGGTTGCCAATGTTAACCTGACGTTTTTTTTAATGCTGTTTAGGGGAAATTTCAAGTCATCCCAGATGTGTACACTGAAAAAATGTGATGAAAGATTTTCTTTGAAACAATTTTCATTCAGAAATTGCTAGTAATAGTAATTTAAATGGGAAATTTTGAAGTAGAAAGGCTGAGATAGTATTTTTAATTTTTTCTAAAACAAACTCCAAAATCTTTTTTGAGGAATAATTTTTAGTGTTGGACTATTTTTTCACATGAACACAAATGAATTTTTTTTTAGAAAAATAATCCATCCATGTGAGTCCATATAATGCGAGTGAGTGGGTGCCCAAAAGCTGATGCACCAAAAAGATGATGGTAATCCATATAGTACGACCCAACACACTCTCTTATGGCGATTCATAACTATTTTAATTGGTGGCCAATTCATTTGAGTTTGTACGATCTCATTCATACATTTTTGTACAATCTGTTTGTGGCCCACTGATGGTTAGGTTTAGTTGTGGGGTTAAGGATGGACTTTCATACTTACTGTTCTAAAAATCTTATATTTCCGTATGAATTCCTACAAAATAGCAACCTCGTAAAATCGTTGTCTTCTGAAGTGAAACAAACAATAAGTGTGTGTGTGAGAAAAATATGTATATTTTAAACTTTTTTTAACTATTGCTTCTTGCCAACTCTCGTATACATGCTTAAGAGAGGGTCACATTTACACTTGATGTAATTGACACATTGTGAAGCTAAACGTGACCCTCTCTTAAGTGTCGCTTCTCGTGTGATCTTCACAGTGCAATTAAGTTGTGCTTCACAGAATTTTAAGTGCATACATTTACCACAACTTGTCTATAACTGACATATAAAATCCAGTGAGATGACTTCAGAATGTTAACTTTGTCTCTCACATTTAATATTTCTAGTCTTGTGACAGCAATTAGAAGTGTCATGTGAAATCCCTATAGAAACTTTGATGACATGCCCTTAAAGGGGTCATAATAAAATTTTGCCACTTCATCTGATACAAAGACTTCCATTCCAACAAAAGAAAACTGTTTTTGCAAATATGAAATCTGCATCTGAAGTGGCATTTAGATTCATTTACACAGACTGTTTAATGCAGCTCAGAGGGGACATGGATGCATTTAACCTGCAGTTACAAATGCATAAATAATGCTTTGTTTTAAACGTAAAACGTTGAATATTATTATTTCAAAAGATTTAAAACATGAAAAGATACTTGAAATGTGAAAGTAAAGCCGCCAGTAGGTGGCAGCAAGTCACTGTTAATGAGCGAGTCATTGAGATTAAATCGATTCATTCAAAAGGTTGATTTATTCAGGAATTAAACATTTGACTGTTTTAATGAGTGAGTCACTGAATCATTCGTTCAAAATACTGATTCATTCAATAAGGAAACGCCATCTGCCGCTCAACGGCGCAAAACAGTGCTGTTTGGAACTATTTTCATTGGCGAAATACGGCAAAAACAGGCATCTAAAATGTAAGTAACTCAATACCAACTTTATCAAACTTGTATAAAATCGAAGTATTATTACTTCATAACATTACACCACTGCTTCTATTTAAAAATCCAGTTGGTCCTGGCAGCTGTAACAAATTGTTGGGGTTGGTTGTTAAACGATCAGTTAGAGCCGCTCGTTTCCAACATTTCTACCACAATAATTCCTGTCAGGAGAGGTACATTACTGTACATTTGCAATTAAAAACTGATGGAAAATTGACCGTGCTTGCTGTTGATGTGCTACATGTATGAAGTGAACACTTCTAAGCTGTCTAAGTTTGATTTATGATGCAGTTTTTCTGTATGCTTGCAGTTTTCATGTGAATGAACGTTATATATGAACATCATACAAAAATTACTCTGGAAGAACACGCGCGTGCGCACACACACACACACACACTCCAGTAAAAATATGATTTGGTCTGGCCATTGAAACAGTATGAATATCCAATTTGAATATATATATATATATATATATATATATATAACACCTCAAATACAAATAAAAAAGTTTGGATGACAATGGAAATGTTTCTTGCTTCCATGTGATACAAATAAAGAGTAATACAGTCTCTCTTATTTATTTGCACAAGGCAATAAAGTAGTACTAGTAGGCTGATATTTGATGTTGTATATGCATATCACTTTTTTTTAGGATTTATTGGTCCAGTGACGTTTATGTTAGGATGATAATATGTCCCTATTATGTCTTTACTGTTTGGTATATTATCTGGCATAAAGTGTCCTACCAAACAACACAGTACAGTGTGTTTTGATATAAATATTGCTGGTTATTATTTGTGATTAACTCTCTCTGAATTGTGCTTTTGCAGATTGTGGCCTTAAGAGAGCAGAATGCCCATATTCAGAGGAAGGTGGCGTCAGGAGAAGGGGCTGAGGACTTGTTGGAGGGAACTGATGCCCAGAAAGTTCATGGCAAGGTGGGGGAGCAGGCTCTAAACTGAGTGGTTAATAGTCTCTCTACAGTCAGGCTGTGTTTTATGAATGCTAAATGTACACTACCGTTCAAAAGTTTGGGTCGATAAGATTTTTGTTGTTATTGTTGTTTTTGAAAAAAAAGAATCTCTTATGTTCACAAAGGCTACATTTATTTGATCATAAATACAGTAAAACAGTAATAATGTGAAATATGAATACAATTTAAAATAACTCTATTTTAATATATTTAAAAATGTAGTTTATTCCTGTGATGGCAAGGCTGAATTTACCGGCAATTCCGGTCAATTTAATGCTTGCTTGCGGAATAAAATCCAAACCCCAAACTTTTGAATGGCACTGTACATAATTGGTGATTGGACATGATTTATTTTGATGTACAGTCAGTTTTTAGTCTAATTGGAAAAGAAAGAAACTACTGAAAATAGTTTTTGAACACAGATGTGTACAATAAAATCAATAAACCTTCCTCTGTACAGTCAACACACAGTCATCCTGTCAGACTGTATTTCTGGATCACATTTAATGGGCCGTTAAACCAGTCGTGGCAAAATCTCATTCCTGCCTCACATTCCTGATGAAAAGATAACAAGAGAGTCGTCCTCCTCTCACTGTCACCGGTGGGCACTGTGCGCGGCATTAGATTGTGTTGGCATGGTGACAGTGATGACAGGAATGTGTGGCCTCGTAAAAGATAAAGGTTGGCACTTTCACAGTATATCTCAATTGGCCAAATTAATCTCCCATGATGCTCGATAGATTTAGTAGCAGTACTGACAATATCCAGGACCTCTGGCACTGATGCATGGGTCCAGCTGACCAACTAGAGGTCACTGGCTTTGCCTGTACGTAACAAACAAATCTGACCCTCCCAAATAGAAACAGACAAAAAAGACCATTAAGAGGGAGTGAAAAAGTGAGAGTGAGTCATTATCAGGCCCTACAGCAGCTCCAGAATAAACCACGGCTATTCTTTGTCTTGTCATTCTCGTCTATTCACGATCACAGAACCCTCTTCTGGTGAAGTCGTGTCGATCTCTCATGGCTTCACAGCTTTGACGGAGTAAATTCTGTGTGCTCTGCAAATGATTTCATCACCCTTCTGTCTTGGTGTCTGCACCATAAATTAAAAAGGATATAAAGTCTAATTTTAGGGCAGCACAAGACGTGTCAAGTTTTAGTGTGAATATGTGACAGAAATGTTATTTTAGGCATGACAAAGGAAAGAACTGAGCCTCTGTTTCACACACTGAGAATGCAGACACAAATTTGCATGCTGGGAATTCAACAATCCAGATAAAGAGCCCTGTGCTAAATGACCGTTTCAGTGAATGAATGGATGAACTAGCTGAAACATTAAACCTTCAAACTAGTATAAAATAATATATTAATTATAGGTATTTTCTTTCATTCATAAATTCTCAGTGTGCTGTATTTACATTTGTTTAGTATAAATTAGTGTTCATTTAGTATTACAGTATCAATTTATGGTTTTACCATTTAATTAGTAATTAATTATATGATTATTGACTTATTTTTATACTTATATATAGTTTTTATTAAGTTTGAGTTTTTTTTGTTATTTTAGTAATTGGTTTTAGTTGTATTTAACAATTATAACCCTTTTAATAATGTGCAGTTATACTGAATTAACAGATAGTTTAAACATCCTTATTTAATCTGTTGAATCAATCTCAGAACATTTTTTCACTCTAAAAGAAAGTGTATTATGTGTGTTTGGGCTGCAGCGGTTGTCTAATGGGTCGATGGAGTCGGGGGACGAGGCCAGTCAGGTGTTGGAGCTGCAGGAGCTGCTGGAGAAACAGAATTACGAGCTGGCGCAGATGAAGGAGCGCATGTCCTCGCTGTCCTCCCGCGTGTCCGAGGTGGAGCAGGAGCTGGAGACAGCTCGCAAAGACCTCATCAAGAGCGAAGACATGAACAACAAGTACCAGAGAGATATTAAAGAGGTGCAGTATGGGTGTATGTCAAGCCTCTGTCTCAAATCAGACATAAATCTGAAATGCACTGCGTTTCATTGGCCCTGTACTTGTACACTGCACAATAAAGTTGAATCTAATCTAATCTAAATTAGGCTGTGTCCGAAACCTCATCAGACAGTAGTAATCCAAATATGACGTTTGAATGTGTGTAACATCCTTTGTACTCAAATGCAGTTTTCTTAAAAGGTGCCTTTATACAAAATTCAGTCTGTTATAGCACTGACTGACCAAATAGGGACGCAGCTGCCTTCGGTTTCGGACACAGCCTTGTCACATTGATAATTAGCGACAGCTGGACAGATTCTGGGAAATGTCTGTTGGATTGGAGATACAGCTATTGATGGAGAGAGGTTGTGGCAGCCTGGAGCAGTGTGTGTGCGTGTCTGTGTCCGAATGTGTGTGTTTGCTTGTGTTCATATTTGTCCTCAAGCCTATGTGTATAGGGCAGGAGTTTTAATTGACAGTAGACTGTTACACCTGCGGGCTCCATCTTAGGTGTGTGTCTGAGAGCCACTAACCAACACTCAATATGTGTGTGTGTGTACAGGCTATGTGTCAGAAAGAAGACATGGAGGAACGGATCGTGACTCTTGAGAAGCGCTATCTCAGTGCCCAGAGAGAGTCCACGTCACTACATGACATCACAGACAAGCTGGAAAACGAACTGGCCAATAAGGAGGCGTTCCTCAGACAGGTCAGGTTCTGACCACTTGTATTCCAATTTTATTTTCTTTTTAGCATTATTTCAAATTGCTTTGCTATACGGCAATTACTTAACTGCGTAGCGCACAGATGTTTTGAACTTGGCAACTGACAGACAGTCATTCCATTCGTAATTGAACATTTTATTCTGCTGAGATCATGGTCAGCATGACACCATTTCATATCTTGCCAAATGATTTACCAGGATTTATGAGAAAGTGCTGAGAGATGTGGGAAAAAAAAAACACGTTCACAGTTTTCACTAGAGATTTGGAGCCAAATTACGGGGGGTAAAATCACTTCAGAAAGATGGCAGCAACATTGTTTTATTTTTAGACAGAGATTAGTAAGTCTGTTAGTAAAATATGTTGATTTTTAGTGATGTTTGCTGCATTATATCCCAAAAATGGGACAAATTAATTTACATTTACATTCATTCATTTAGCAAACCCTTTTATCCAAAGTGACAAATTATATTTTATAACATTATCATTCCATGTTAACTCATCATTTTAGTTAGAAGTTAGTAATTTTAAATTATTTTTATTTGAGTTTTAGATATTTTTGTACTTTAGTAACTATTTAAGTTAGTCACCATGGCAACATTTGTAATATGTACATTTTATTTTATTTCAGCTTTATTTCAATTAAAGAAACCTATTTTTAATTTTTGTATTTAACAACATTTTTCCATACAAGGTAAGTGAATTTAAACAGGTGCTGCCAAGCGTCAGTATGCATTTATCACCCTCTAATAACAGTTTAATTGTTCCAAGAACAGGCAAAAAAAGGCAGTTATGTAATTTTGTTTGTTTGGGCACACTGAAAACAGTCACGATGATCCAATTGTTGCTGTGGAAGCTGGACTGTCCTATGATGTCTGCAATATGAGGATAAACTCTCACTGATCAGTCTGTGTGTGTGTGTGTGCGTGTGTGCGTGTGTGCATGTGTGCGTGTGAGTGTGTTTTTCCTCCCACAGATGGAGGAGAAGAACAGGCAGTTACAGGAGCGGCTGGAGTTGGCGGAACAGAAGCTACAGCAGACCATGAGGAAAGCTGAGACTCTGCCTGAAGTCGAGGCTGAGCTAGCACAGAGGATAGCAGCTCTCACCAAGGTACTGTACTGGATACCACACAAACACACGCACTAGCTCTGCATTTAATGCAAACCAGTGTTGTGGAAGTCTTTAACTAAATTATCATTTGCTTTGATATTAACTAGAAGTAAAGTGAAGTGGATTATCTGGGAACACTTGAGTGATAACTCAAATGAACTGATTTATTGAAGTGAACCATCAGAACAAACTATTCACTGAAACGAATCAGACAAACAGTAATACTTGAGAGAGAGAGACATCAAACTGCAATTCATGTTGGGTTCAGCTATTCAGGCTAGGGGTCAAGGGCCATTTTTGAGGTGGTTTCTCCTATTGACCACTGCACATTAAGGTGCTCTAAACATTCTTGGTTTGGTTGGTGGAAAGCATTACATTGCACTTAGTGTACATTTATTATGTGAATTGATCAGCATAAAAACTACAAAATCTTCAGGAGCAGTAGAATGAAATCTCTTTCAAACTTGTGTAGTGTACTGATAAGAACGATTTGAAAGGCCAATGTATTTGAATGGTCAAATCTTTCAGTATATTTTTTGTCTGGTATGTGTTAACAAATTGTACATGACTAATTTTCACCAAGCACAGAATAATTACATCATTTTGTGTATTTATTGCTTACTGTACGTAATTTAGATATATATAAAAAGCGTTCTTTATAAAAACGTTGTATTAGTAATAGAATTAACTTCAGAAGAATTTTTAAAATTATGTTGGTTATATTTAACTTTATAAAAAATATATAGCATTGTTATTTTTTAATTCTTTCTTTTAAAAAGTGTTATATTTGTAATATAATTATATTGGTGAAAAAATTTTCATTTTTTTTTTGTTGTTCTTTATATATGGTTACTTTGTTATAAAATAAAAATATAATAAACTTTATAGAAATTTGCATCGTTTAGTCTTTATAAAATTGTTATTTGTTATATAATTCATATATTTAATATAATTTATATGATAATATTTCCTGTGTGCTACTTTTCCTCTTTCTTAAAAAAGCACCTAAAATTTTCATTAAAATGGAACGATTCCTACCTAAACCCGAATGAGAGAATTTCTCACAGTGACCACTGCCCCTGAAAGGGTTAAAGAAAAGTAAGCATGTACAGGTACAAGACAAAAATTAAACTCTTGTTCATTCTTTAAAACACTGTTAACAAACTCTACTGTGGAAACATGGAGAGATAGAAATGATTCATACTCTGTTCATTATTAACGTTGTGTGGTATTTCTCTGTATTGTGTGGTTTGGTAGTCTGATATGGAAGCTAAACTCCAGGATATGAACTGCAGTCTTAGGAAGGTGGAGCTGAAAGCTTCTCTCTCTCTCT